GGCGAGGGGAGCGCTGGGGAATCTAAGAACGATAAAAGAGCAGCGTTAGTCATTGAGCGCATTTCAGGAGTACGTGCGATCTGGTCGTTGGGATACCATCACAGAGGGTAGGCTCGAGGAGATGAGGTGAGGGGCAATGAGGGGTAGCAACGTACGTGAGCCAGAAGCCGTGTGCCACTACGGACTGGTCGCGGAGATTCCGGGGGTCGGCAACTTTGGAGGCCATTACTGTTGCTGTATCTTGTGAAGCTTGAATGATTTAAGCTGTGGCATGAGATTATCCTGGTAATTCTTTTTAGGGGACTCGCTCGGGATGAGGTCAATGGAGACAATTTAAACAAATATACAGCTCGGTGCATGTCCGACCCGAAGAGGTGTTATCCGCGGTTTAATCCGGGGCCACCCCCACGTTTCCTGGATTAGTTTCCGTCTCCCCCGGCCTAAAGATGTCCGAAGACGGGGGACGTTCCTCATAGCTTATAAGTCAATTGGCAGTCAACATCTCAGAACTGGCGTCCGGTGAGCCATGTGGTGGTCTACTCAGGTAAGGAGATATGAGTAAATTATCTTGTGTATGACAATGCGCCAGATCACTTATATGCTTAAGAATAGTCGAGGATGACTTAATCACTCACCTAACTATGAGAAATCTTTGCCTTGACATCATTGATGGCAGAATAAAACCTCGTGTTGCAGGCAGTCTCTTCGACTGAGGGGCTGAAATACCGGACGAAACCAATTCTGCATATGGAATTATCTTCTGGTTCCACCCTCTGCAGCTTTCTGCTTTCTGCAAGTCTTAGTCTGCCACACTAGCAGAGATTAATTGAGCCGTGGACGGTGGTGGTATGGAGAGCGATTCGGCCATCCAAGGCATTTAAATGACGCGGGCCGAGCCGGACACACACACTTCGCACCGACTCCCACTTTGATGCACACACACATGCACTCACCACAAACTCTCTCTTACGTGATAGTTCCACTAGAAATCTATGGTTTCTAAATGCTACTTTGGCATCATGACCTACCGTCCGAGCGTCTACCCAAATGACCTCGCTTCTATGATAAATTGACTGGAAGTGAGGGATGGCCTTGCCGAGCTGGCTGCAGTTGCCGTGACCCGATAGCCTCGCCCATTAGATACATCAAACGTGGCGATTCTCTTCAGCTAGCCGATGGTGCACACTGCGTTAGCTACGGTAGGACTGTACCACTACTCAGCGTCCAGTATGTCTCGCTACTTCAGACTCATTCCATAGCTTCGGAGCATCCGAGCGAACTCACGCACGTCTCTTCCGATCTGTGTCGATCGCCGCGCTCGGCAAAGAAAAATAAAACAAAGGACGAATCAGAGACACCAACTGCAGCTACGCCGCGTAGATCCATCTTTCAGCTCGCTAACTAATACGATGGGGCGATTCATGTTCATGCAGGATCTGCTCCACAACCCTCCAAGATGTTATTTAAAAGGCACTCCGCGAGATCTGCCTCCGAGGAACATCTTGTCAAATTTCGATTCTCCAGAACAGCCTGCCTCGAGAACCATGGGGGATCCCGCGCCTGAGTCCATCAGCATCGATAAGATCCATCAAATTGGGACGGAACCCTTTTTGCAAGTCGAAGCCACCACTGCGAAGAACCGCTCTGTTCGCATCGAGGGTCCGCCAAAGCGGTTGATTATCTGCTGTGATGGATCATGGCAGTCATCCAACCATGGGCAGATGAACGTCCCGTCTAATGTCGCAAGGCTCAGTCGTGCCATCGCTCGCTGCGGACTTGCTGATGATAAGGGAGATGCCATCCACCAGATTGTCTACTATAACGCAGGCGTAGGCACTGGCACGAGCAAGAAGGACGATCAGAACTGGTTGGCCAACACGATGGCTGGGATTCAGAAGACTTGGGAGGGCGCGTTCGGTCGCGGACTGGAGGAAAATGTCTGCGAAGGATACAACTTCTTGGTAAGTAGGAAAACTAGTATCGCAAGGGCCTAAGCTATCCTAACTTCATACTAGGTCAACAATTGGACCCCGGGAGATGAGATCTACATCTTCGGTTTTTCCCGGGGTGCGTACACAGCCCGAGCCTTGGCAGGCCTGGTTTGCAATATGGGAATTTGCATGCCGGACATGATGGATGACTGGTGGGCCATGTACGATGATTACAAGAAAAGGTTGAATAGGCAGGACAACTTCGCCCTCGTCTGCAGCAACAAGCTCTCTGGCACATGGATAGACACGTGGAGTGGGGGCTCGAAAGGTGCTACCGTGGGATTGAAGTATGAGGATCGGTTTTACAAGAATGTCCCGATTGAGGTGGTTGGTGTTTTCGATACTGTCGGCGCTCTAGGCTTGCCCAACAATACTTGGTATGATTTTACAAACTATAACAGTACTGAGCACGGCTTTCATGACACAGACGTGCACCCACAGATTAAGCACGCCTTTCACGCTCTGGCGCTGGATGATCATCGAGCACCGTTCAGTCCCACACTTTGGCACCTTCCGACCCGCAACACCACGACCAAACTGATTCAGTGCTGGTTCCCGGGATGTCACATTCACATCGGAGGAGGTAGCGAGGAGACGGCGCAGCATATGGGAGATCTGGAATCGATGGCGAGCTTGTCACTGGCGTGGATGATTGACAGGGTTCGAGAGCACACGAACCTTCAATTCGAGTCTTACGAGTTAACGCGTCTCTATCAAACATACATCAACACCGTCCTTGACCTATCGCAGCGCTCTTTCAAGAGATGGGACAAGGCACACAGCTACAGCTATGCTAATGGTGACGGCAAGAACTACGACGACGAAGCTGACCCTGACAATCGTACTGGCTATGGTGGCTGGGGTATGGGATTCCGACCCGACAGTATGACCTTCGGTATGAGCTTCGCGGGCACCATCAATCGCACCCCTGGCCAGTACAAACCGCTCAAGAAGAATGACAAGAACGAGTTGGTTGCTCTGAATCCGAATCTCTATTCTACTGAAGAATATATTCATCCCGTGGTTGCATATGCCTTGGGCAAACCGTACCGGGAGGCCAACCAAGGACCGGTGCTACGCTATCAGCCGGAAGCACTAAAGAATTTTACCCGCGTGAAAGACCCCAAAGACCCAACCACCGGTAAAATCCAAGAAGGGATCTTCTGGAGAGGAGTCTTCCCACCTAAAGAGAAAGGTTACCTGAAGACCAAATGGGACTCCATATGGGGCGGATCTCAGCCGCCTGCTGAACCGGAAGTCTTGCTCATCCCCGAGATGCCGCTGTGGGAAGATACAGATAGTAATCTGCTGAACGAAAGAGACTACATGCGGGCCGACTGGCTGGCGTTCTTGGCTCCAAGATTGTGGTTCCCCGAGCCGACTATAGATCACATCGACAAATACCTGAAGGGGCACAAGGAACCCAAGACTTTGGTAGAGAGTTTGACAGAGCGCGAGACGGATCTACTCTATCACCTAGCAGTCAAGGCCCAGTCGCAGCTCACTAGTGTCTGGCAGATGAGATCCGTAGCCTTTAAGCTGAGGCAGAAGATACCGTCGAAGGGAAATGAGGAGAATGTAAAGCTGATGCTCGACACGGGTGCTCGCACCAGGAAGTTCTTGGACCTGCTGGATCGAGGCGAGTTATATCCTGAAGAGGAGGCATGAGAGGCTGAAAATGTTGAGTCCGTCGGTAGTTGGTATGCAGGCTGAAATACAATGTCTTCCCACCTGCAATTCTATATTTTGCAGTTCAACATAGATCAGAAACTAGGTAGGCAGCTTTAGAGTCGGTCCTACCTCGAACACATTGGCTGTGTAGCGTGCCTTGTTGGTTCAATAAAGTGTGTAGAGAGTCAACGTCAACCAGCAAAAGGCTTTATGCCTCAGGCAGCGAAAGAGCACAAGCCCCGAAGGCCCAATTCCCAAGGGATACGGCGGTCCACAGCGACCCACGGCGGCGATCGGAACTTTTGGTGGCCATAAACCCCTGAACTAAACCCAGCAACCATTTGATAGTCCGTCTGCAAAACAAAGACTGCCCACATTGGGCATCTGGATGCCACTTGAGGACTGACAAAACAGACCTGTCTCACGGTTCTGTCTGCTTTGCAGTCAGGTACCCTGTCACAGTTGCTGGACCATTGATTTCCAGTCGGTGCGAAACAGGAGTTGCATAGCCTGACAATAATTGATTATTGAAGATCCTTGAAGCCCCCGGATCGGACAGGTCAATTGTGTAAGTATCATCTCGAGTAACTACAGCAGACAGATGTGTAAATGAGAGAGAGCCAGTAGTTAGTAAAACTAGCAAACTAGCAAATCTGACCTCGAAGTGTACCTGGGGTGATCCATGGGTGAACATGAATGGGGGCAGTGGAAAGAGCCACTGCACTGCACTGCACTGCACTTGAGCCCGGGTCGTACCAGAATTACCATGGACCACTCTCAGACAGTCTGGAGAAGAAGACCTGGGATAGTGACGATTGGTCTGCCAGCCACAGAATGGGGAAAAGGGGAGTCCTGCGGGAGTGTAACTTTGGTATGCGTATGGTCATGGAGGAGTATCGGTGCCTAAGGTGTCCGCCTATCGTGGCCTTACAACCCCCTTAAACCCACTAGTCAACGGCCAGTTTGACGGGGGGCGGCGGCAGTGGGAAGGGAGAGGAGACTAACTAAGAGTAAGTACAACGGGAAGACCATCTCCTCAGGGGAGAGCGAGAAGAGCAACAACCATCCCATCCCATCCCATCCCATTCCCATTCCATCCATCTCCACTGCATTCATTCTCCCTCTATCTTCCTTCCCTTCATCCTCCTCCTCCACTTCCCACGACCTTCCTTTACTTCAGCTTCCTCCTCTTTTCAACCCTTCACTCGCTTGCTTAAACTCTTCTAATTCTACTCTCCATCCTCATCTTCCTTTCTTTCTTTGTTTCTCCCTGCCCCCCCCCCACCCACCCACCTCCCTTCTTTAGCCCACCATGTCTTCCTCATTCAGCGCGGTAAGTTGTTATCCTTCCCCTTTCTATGCCGGCCGCTCGAATTGCCTCACCCCCACCACTACCACCACCACCACGCTCTTCCAATGCCTTGGGGGTCACAGGTATTTTCAATTGTGTCAACTGCTTCAACTCTGCTCTGAGTCTCAACTGTGGTTAATTCGCCTCTAACTTCAAGCCCAAGCTCCGTCGCAAGAAAAACGTCAAGAAGGGTATCCAGTTCTGTCTGATGGTCTGTGGTGCCAGCGGAACCGGTATGTTTGCAACCTGCGCAGTCACGCTCTCCAGTCCCAGAAATTGACCAGCCGTTTCGATATCCCTAGGACGCACTACCTTCGTCAACACTCTCTGCGGAAAGAAGGTCCTGGAAGGAAAGGACGCCGACGACGCTGCCAACGCTCACATTGAGGAGGGTGTCCGCATCAAGCCTGTCACAGTCGGTGAGTAGGCTACCACACTAAGTGTTTCAACGCTGGAGCTAATGCACAGCTCGACAGAACTCGAATTGGACGACGAAGGCACCCGCATCTCCCTCACCATTGTCGATACCCCCGGTTTTGGCGATCAGATTGACAACGAAGCAAGGCAGGTGGCCCTGGCTCCAAACAATACCACTCTCAGTGCACGACTGACCGTTTCGCAGCTTCGGGGAAATTGTTGGATACCTCGAGCGCCAATACGATGATATTCTTGCCGAGGAGTCTCGGATCAAGCGTAACCCCCGCTTCAGGGACAACCGTGTCCATGTCCTCCTTTACTTCATCACACCCACCGGTCACGGTCTCCGTGAGCTCGACATCGAGTTGATGAAGCGCCTGTCGCCCCGTGTCAACGTCATCCCCGTCATCGGCAAGGCCGACTCCCTCACCCCCGCCGAATTGGCCGAATCGAAGAAGCTGATCATGGAGGATATCGAGCACTACCGCATCCCTGTTTACAACTTCCCCTACGACATCGAGGAAGACGACGAAGATACCGTGGAGGAGAATGCCGAGCTGCGGGGTCTCATGCCATTCGCTATTGTTGGTTCCGACGAGTTGATTGAGATCGATGGCAAGAAGGTGCGTGCCAGGCAATATCCCTGGGGTGTTGTAGAGGTCGAAAACCCTCGTCACTCCGACTTCCTGGCCATTCGCAGCGCCCTTCTCCACAGCCACTTGGCCGATCTGAAGGAGATCACCCACGATTTCCTCTACGAAAACTACCGTACCGAGAAGCTCAGCAAGAGCGTGGACGGTGCTACTCCGTACGTATTCCTAGCCTTGACATCATTCGTGCTATCCGTTCGCCGACTAATAGTTTCGCAACAGTACACAAGACTCGTCCATGAACCCCGAGGATCTGGCCTCCCAGTCCGTCAGGTTGAAGGAGGAGCAGCTCCGCCGCGAGGAGGAGAAGCTCCGTGAGATCGAGCTAAAGGTGCAGCGTGAGATTGCTGAGAAGCGCCAGGAACTGTTGGCTCGCGAAAGCCAGCTGAGGGAAATCGAGGCCCGCATGGCACGAGAGGCCAGCCAGAGCCAGGTCGATGTCACCAACGGAGATGCCTAAACGAATACCGTCGAAATCCCTGGGACTCATGGAAAACGGTTTCCACATGATTGACATCTGACACCGTATGTGCCTTTGTAATGAGAACCGTGGCGCGGCAGTCGTAACTGTCTACGGGGTTAAGATTAGTCGGCCGTTTATTCACGTTAATAGCTTTTTCTCTTCTTTTTTTTCTCTTTTGCTTTCCTGATTTTTCTTTTGAACTGCAAGGAAAAGGGGAGGGCAAATGCAACGTTCCGTTTTAGTACGACGATGACTGGGAACAACAAATCCTGTCTGGCTTTTTTTCCCCTCTCTTTTATCCTTCCCACCGCCACCAACCACCCCTCTGGGAATCATCCCAGACAGACAAGAACAGAGAAGAAGGGCAAAGGAACGGACATATTTTCGGCTGCAATCTTCCAACCTTCCAACTTCACATCGTCTTTCGAAAGCCATCAATCATCTAACCCCGTTGTGCTGCAAGATGTCTGGAGTCAGAAGAATAGCATCATTTTTAATCACTCACAGTTATCACCGAGGAAAGCATCTGCATAAAGTTTCAAATTCCTAACATTGCTTGTGTTGTCCCTGGTTTTTCTCGTTCCTTTTGATCATTACTCTTTTCTTTTCTTCCTTTCTACTCCCCCTCCCCTCACATGAAACCCTGTCCCAGTGTCAGCAGCGCGCAGCAAGATTCCCTCTTTTGTCCGGTAGTTTCTCTTGTTCTATTTCCCCTTTTTCTTAGCTTATTATATTTTGTCGTTATATTTGAGTTATTTGTATGTGAGTGAGTGTGTGTGTGCAACAAGCAAAAACAACTATCCAAACAACCAACCAACCAACCAACCAACCAACCCAACAAACCAAACTCGTGGGTTCTTTTCCTAAATTTATGCGTGCCCTTACTCTTCCATGTCCTCTCCATCCCAATGCATTCTGTCCAGGGCTTGGTAAGGTACGAATTTTGTGCCGTAGATCTTCACCCCAAGTTGTGGCCATAGATCGTAGATGTACCTCTCGCCACCACCTACCATGCCACTTCTTCTAGTTCAAAGCAAATTCCGTTCGATGGATCGAACAGGAGTTCGACATCACCTGCCAACACAATCCGGAGGGGCTCGTAACAACGAAATCGGGTGTAGGGGAGAGTCACGGGACCGAAGGTAAGTACTGACTGTACAGTCCATAAAATATGTTGCGGTCTGCTTTTTCCATCGCGATCATTGCCCATTCGTCCCAGTTTTATGGGTAGTGTGTCGCCATGGTAGATATGAACACTTTCACTCTTTATGAGCGTGGATTAGTAATTGACCCTAGTGCATCGACGTGATACGGGAGCATGAAGTTGGGGAATACAATATATTATGTTATTGAGTGGGTGGGTGCGTGGTGTACAGTACATGGCTAGATCAATGCTTACTTCGGCAAGCGGAGCGGAGGCGGAAGTGCTAACTCAGTCAGCGGGCCCGGGAGGTTTGAGCCTTCAACTATATACCTCTCTCACTGCGCGGCAGAAAGGGCGTGAGTGCAATTGGTCTAGGTTCAAGGCTGGTGCTTAGAAGGCTATCTTTTGCTCTTTCTCGGAGAAGAAGCTTACGACTGGTTCAAGGTTCATGAAAGGACCCTGACTCTATAGGCGAGCTTACGCGCGTTGAGGAAATCGGAAGCCGCGAGGAAGAGAGCTACGTGACGACTCCCCCGGATCACAGCGAGTAGGACCACATAAGGACGAACAAGAAGCATGAAGTTCTTGACTAAGATGGATAAGATAGATGAGATGATAGAAAGAGAAGAGAAGAAAAAAAAATGGTGCGAGAAGAATGAGAAAAATTGGGGATAAAAGGAACAGGTGGTATTTGCGCTTCATTGTACACAAGTCGGGGAGAGAATTTGCGGGGTCGGATGGGGGTACGCCAAATCGACCATGGGGTTGGGTACAAAGACAGGGTAGATGGAGATGAATTGACATGGAGAGGTATTAGAGGAAGGAAAGGAGAAAAAACAAAATTGAGAAAGAATCTTTGGCACTAGACCTCCTGAGAGTCAAGGGCAGCAAGAGATTCTGAAGGGGGGAGGGGAAATGTGTTCAAGGTTAGTAACGCAGATGGATGAATGTATGCCCTCGCCGCTTTTGAGCCGACCGGGATAGTAAAAACAAAGGCCTTTCTAAGCGCAGCAAAAGAAGTGACACTTGGGACGAATATAGAACATGACACTGTCTCTCCTCGCATCTTCTGCTTCACTTCCACCCGTATAAGTGGTTTTTACTGATTGATGACTCAGTGTTGTGGCTTGTTCCAGAAATCCAAGCTGGCGACCACATCCTCTCCTGATTCATCTTCATAGGCATAAAGAATCTGTGACAAGGTAAGCAACTGCTCGGATCAAGTGACTGCCGGAGGCTCGACTTACTTCTCGGGTCGACGAATGCAACATGCGAATGTTCTTTCCAGTCATGATATGCACCAGCTCGCTCGTTTCAATGTGACGGATTTCGATGAAATTGGGTTCGAAAGCGAGAATATAAGGCAAAGAAAGTGCAAATGCGTTCGGATTGCCCTCCCAGGAGATTCTCCAGTCGGAACGGGCACGCCATCCGTTGCGGTTGACGAAGAATGAGAAGTCGCTGTAGTTCAAGAGGAATTCGCCGTTCAAGCGTTCAATGTGGATCGGCTTCACATTCTCCTTCCGTGCAACGAAGTCAAGAGATGTATCCGCCTGATCGAGCAGAGACTGTGTTTCGGTGGTTTCGAGACTGACAACCTCAAAGCCTCGGGCACAGCCCACACAGAGTGTTGAGCGAAGGAAATGGATCGAGGAAGACTCCGCAGGGATGTAGAATTCCTGTGAAACGCAAGGTTAGCTGCCAAGTCCGGGATGACAAGAAAGTCTGAAGGGCACGAACCTTGAAGAGCTTCAGTGTGTCCTGTCCACTCTGGAACATCTTGCTGACAGCCGACTTCTTCTTACCCTTCGCCAGATTATCCATAGGCTCATAAACCTTGATGGTGGTCGACAAAGCGGAGGTTTTGACGGAGCACACCAGATGACGTCCGAGTCCAATACCGGCCTTGAAGAAGTTCGCGTGACCTTGAATCTTCTTAGGTCGCTTCGCAATAGTGTTCTGGCCTTCATGAATCTCGAGCGCATCCATGGGGTAAGAGGATAGTGTCTTGTTCGACAGAACCAAAAGCAGTTGATACTCCTCCAATGTATCTATCTGAGTGACCTGACTGACATCAAGAACCCGCCGAGGTTTTGCTGACTTGTCCTTCGGCCAACGTTCGGAGAGATAGATACCGCTGTCCGTACCGTAGACCAATTTTCGACCTCCGTCTGCATCAAAGCGAAGCGCGGTTAGCATATAGAGAATGGGATTTTTGGCTGAGACAAGATAGAACATACCAATTGGAACAAGGCAGTTAACACGGTTGACAGATGTGAAGAAGTTCTCACAGAGAACTGTCTTATTGTAGAAGTTGCTGTTGCGCTCCCTGAGCTTCCGCTGCTGCTCTTCTACCAATTCGATGAATTTCCGGCGCTGAGTGGTTGATGTAGCGTACAACGTCTGCTCGTAACCGCCCTTGCCAAGATGCCTGAAAGTGATAGGAAGACCATCCTTAGTAGTGGGAGGATTTGCTGCAGCCTTGTTGGAGAGAAGACTGGACGACGGCCGTTTGGGAATTCCCACCTTGGGTATTACCTCATCCATCTGGGCAATGACCAACAGCTCTAGCGGAATAGGTTTCCGATATACGCGGTACTCCTCACGCTTGTTGACAACCTTGATTCTGACCAAGAGAACTGCGTGATCGAAGAGATATGCGGTAACCTCGGAGCTGTCTGTTGGCGTTTTCTTGAACGCCATCTTCGACAACATCTGCCGGTTCTCTTCCGTCAACTTCAAATCCACGTAATCGCCAGGACCAAACTTCAGCGCAGCATTGAGCTGCACCAGGTTGAAGTGGTTCTCAGCCCTACCACTCTCTGCGTTGACACGAGACAGGAAATCCTTGATCAGAGCAATGGCTTTGGGGATATCTTGGCGGTCTGGGCTATCCTCGGCTGTGTTTTTGAAGACCTGCTCCAGTAGGAGTGGATACCTGGCGAGACGCGTGGTCGGCTTGGTCAGATAACCATTCAATTCGAGCTTGCGCGACTCCTTGAGACGTTCCGTTTCCTCTACGAATCTCGCAAATGCCGGATTCGACGCTTTCTCCTTTTCGAATTCATATTTGCCGTACAGCTGATTGGCACCATATTTGATGAACGGATCGAATCGTGGCACGTGCTGAAGGAAAATATCACCGACCGTCTTGACAACATGGCTTTCCTTCTGTCGAGCATTTAAGGCCTCGCACAATCCACCGTTGACCTTCAGGACCTCCAAGCAATTGCCAAAGACCGTCCGGATGAATTTCTCACGCCGATGCTCGGGAATAGGCGAGGTAGTGGCATTGCCCGCGGCCCGCAAGGGCCTCATCCAGAAGTCTCGCAGATACTCCAAATCCTTGACAAAGTCACGCTCTGTGTACATGATCTCAAAGATGATCTCCTGACGTTTCTTTTCGCGATCGTCAATACTGTCTGATACCTCCTTAGGAACCATATTGATCCAGAGTTTCTGATTGTCGTTGTCATCGTCATCGCCGTGCAGACTGCCCTTCGAAGCAGACGATCGTAGCCCAGGCTGCGGCTTCAGATTCAGCCTAGCCTGCTGTTCGAGCCTTCTGGGGCAGGCGATGGAATAGCACAGGCTATCCCGCGTACACGTCGGCGAATAGCACTCACTGAGCAGTGTGAATACACCATTGACCTCCGAGCTTGGCGCCTCTTCTCCCATTGTCTCCTTGAATTGGTAAATTTCGCCCTGCGCATCTCGGAGGCGATGGTCGTACGTCACATCGTGGAAAAACTTCTGCGCATCCAGCGCGCGGCCCAATAGCAGAGCCAGATTCCGATCATTGGTCTTAATGATGTGTGCAATTAGATCCACTGCGTGGGCACCGGTAAATGCGTTTTGATATGACAGTCCGTTCTTTTGTAGTTCTGAGAGTGTAATTCGCTCACGGAAAACATCGGCAACACGCGAGAGCAGAGCTGGATACACCAACGGAACCTTACTGCGACGCGAGTTGCTTTGCGCAAGACCGGGCTGATTGCTTGGCTTCCCAGCCACAGTACTCTGCATGCTCATCGTTCGATCCGGCACGACGGTTGATGCCATCGACATGGAGCGCGAGTTTGTGGACCCATCGCTGGGTGGGCGAGGCCTACCGTTAACATTCTGGGCGCTGGGTGGCTCAGGTGGGTAGCCATTGACTGGGGCCTGGCTAGGGGGTCCGGATGGTTGCCTCCTGGGTGGAATTACTCGCCCTGTGCTTGTCGTGTAGGCGTGATCTCGATCCGTCGGGTACGTGGTCAACGACATGGCGCGCTCGTTCGGATTCCTTTCAGGGACGGGACGCCCTTGAGCTGTCATCGGAGCCGCCGCGGTGTACTGCTGCTGACGAATTGCATTGGCAGAAGTGTGATTGAAGCTGCTCAAAGAGGGTTGATACATTGGGGGACCACCCATCTTCGCCATTGACCGTGACCGGTTCGAGTCCGAGTTCAGGGCGGGATGGGCCGGCATTGTCCTAGTGTAGCCCTTTGGGTCTGGGTATTGTGGTCCCGTGTTCGGTCGAGAATCCAACCGTTGGGGCTGCGGATAAGCGGAGCGTCCGGGGTAGGGCCGTGCGGGGTGCTGTGAAGACTGCTGGAAAGCTGGAGGTGCTGCGCTGCCGGAGTAGGCTTGGTAGTATCCGTTGGGAGCCCCCGATGAATATCCATTCTGCATCTGGCGTGCGGGCGGTGGCGGACCTCGATGCATCTGTGGATGTGGGACGTGTGATGACATCGTGTGAGCTCGATCCTGAGAGAACTGGGGAGTCTGGGATGTCATCGTCTGCGAGCGTCCCGGTGGCGGAGCACCGCCAAAGATCTCGGAGTATGCAGCATCACGTTGGAAGGCAGAAGGGTGTCCGTAAGGCCGGTAATTCCGGCCTTGCTGGCCCCCTAAGTCAGCCATGGCGCCTTGCTGCTCCTCGCGCTCGTAATCGCAATGACTTGGGCTTTCGTATAGCGACACGGGTCAATCTGGTAGGTGCGACTCGAGGAGTTCAGGGGGGGAGTGGAAGGCGGAGGAATTCGTCTCAGTACAGGTAGGGTATCGAATCCGGTCGTAGCGAGCGTGCCGTTTGTCGCAATGAAAAAGATCGTTCCAAGTCGTGGAGATGAAGAAAAGGAGAAGAGGGCGGGTTTGGGAGGGGAAAAAGAAAAAAAGAGGTCCTCCACGGGCGATAATTTATAAGCACGTAAGAAAGAGAAAAATAAGACAAGAATAAAATGGCAAAAAGGAAATAGAGAAGATATCTAAACAGAGAAAGAAGCGCCCCGGTGTATCATGCCTCAACGAGCTTGGTGGTTGGAATAGGTTGACAGCCTGGGGAAAGGCGTCGAGACCGCGTGGTGTGTTGATGGTAATCGAGGTGCGCTTGGAGGAGCCTTGAGCGCAACGGCAAACCAGGACCCCTGGTTCATAACCTCAGCATTCTCCCTCTAGCTGATGGGTGGATCGACTCACAGTGCCTAGACAACGCAAATCCGAAGAGACTAGGCAGAGAGAGGATTAAGAGTGGGGAGGGAGGGAAGAAAGGAGGGGGGG